AGAATTGGCCCTTAGTTTTCGGGTGTCTTTCAAAGGGGCGGGATATGGATGTCATCCAAGACATGAGGCGCCCTTGCAACTGTCGTTGCCTTTCTTCCATTTTCGGTTGACGAATGAGGATGAACCCCACATGTTTCCATTCAAGATGCATGCATGCATCCCCCTCGGAGGATTTACCCCTGCTTGAAGCAGGACCAACTCTGGGTAGGCGTATTGTGGGGATAGAAGAAATGCCGGGAAGCTTCTCCCACCCCGCTCCCATCGAACCTCTCCCTTTCTCCAAATTCCCAAAATAGTCTAGTGCAGCCTCGCTGAGCACGATGTGGAGAGCCTCACGTCGAATGCCCCGATGGCGGAGCCGTTGCCTGTGGAAGTACTTTGTGTGGGTAGTCCATCGCTGCGCACTGCGTATGTCCTATATCGCCATTTCCTTGAAATCCTTCTCTGACGAGGTGGAACACCAAGATCAACTACTATGAGCGCTCTGTTGTCTCCCGAGCGGACCTTCTCGAACCTGGATCCGGCCTTTTCCGCGTCTAGTGCGCTGAATACACAAGCCGGGAGATCGGTCTTCATATCGTTGTCTTGGCGCATCTGTAGGACCGTGCGGACGTGTTGGGTATGAGTGTCCTCATCGCCCACGGTAAAGACCAGAATGACGTTGAGGGGAGTAAGGCAGATGGTCTTTTTAACCGCCGGGGCCGTTTTTCAGCGCCACGACCACCTCTTGGTGCCTATGACGAGTCGTGGTGCGCATCCACAGGGCTGTATCCTCGATATTGTCGTAGGCGCTGGCGTCGACGGGGCCGAAGACTGACATATTTGAGAGCGTTGAACCAGGCGGGAAATCCATGGGTAGCTAGTAGGACTGAAGCTTGTTCAATGGACTTAAGAGCAGCTTCTAGGCAAGGCTGGAGGATGTGATGAGCTTGGTTGATATCGTGAAAAATGAATCTGAGGTATTGATTGCAGCGCGGCGAATCCTATTTCAACAAACTTCATCTCGGCAGAGATAGTCGGTTTTTGGTGTTTTGATAACCCATCCACAAGTTCTACGGCAAGTCTAAACCACGCCGAGGAACTTGGTCGAGATTGTCGTGAGTTTTTTCCCTCATCTCACTGTTGAGATGCTTCTATCAGTCTATCTCTCTATAGACTATAATCGAGCCCGAAAATTCGACCGCTCCCCCGTTTCCTTCTCGACCCACTCCTTCAGCACATTCCTCATGATCTTCTGGTTCAGGTTCCTTGGTATCTCTTCCACAAACCGCACTCCTCCTCTCAGTCTCTTGTAGTTACTCACCCTCGGGTTCAAAAAGTCATGGACATCCTTCTCTGACAGCCCTGCGGTCTTTCCTTTCTCAGACCTGACAATGTATGCTCGGGGAAGGTCATTGCCCTCCCCGTCGGACACTCCAATGACGCCGACGTCTGAAATCCCGGGTAACTGGCCCAAAACAGACTCGACTTCGGTCGGACTCACTTGGAAGGACTTGTACTTGAGCAGTTCCTTTGATCGACCGACTATGAATAACTTGCCGTCCGTATCGAAATACGCAATGTCCCCTGTGTGAAACCAGCCATCACTCGTATATGCAGCGCGCGTGGCTTCGGGGTTGTTGAAATATTCCTTGATGATGTTTGGTCCTGCTCACAGTCAATGAGAAATGTCGATATGAATAATATGATGGAAGCGCCTGTGGTTTGCTTACCTTTGATGCACAATTCTCCCGGCTCTTTATGGCCCAACTTCTTCCCCTCAGGACTGATGATAACGGCTTGAATATTTGGTAATAGCCTGCCCGAGCTTCCTTCTCTGTCGACTTCTGTGACGTTCGGTTGGGACGCCGCAGTAACCGTCTCCGTCATTCCCCAATTGACCCGCAACACCACGCCATCAGGCAACATATCGTGGACCTTCAACTGTAGCGGCAACGGCAGTGGCGAAGCACCACTCATAGCAAACCTGATTGATGCCAAATCCTCTCTTGTGCACTCTTGCACCACCCGGTTCCAAATCGCGGGGACAATGAAGCAAGCAGATAACTGAAACTTTTTAATGCTTGACATCAGCGTGGGGAAGTCGTACTTGGGAAACATGTACACCTGCATGCCACACTGTAGGCACATCATATTCTGAACGAAGATTCCGACGGCAACGGCGTTTTGCATGACTCCCGGCATGCGCAGATAGATGCCGTCTGAGATTGCTTTTTGGGCGAAGTGGTCGAAGTGAAAGGCCATTTGGCAGAGGTTTGCGACGATATTGGAGTGCGTGATTACGACGCCTGGGGTTCCCGGATGTTAAAAACCCAGACCAGCCATTGTTGAGAGAGCCATAGTTGCGCGTCGACTCACCTTTTGGGTTGCCGGTCGTGCCGCTGGAATAGACCAGACAAGCAGGCGTCCTTTCGAGAATAGCCGGGTCCGTGATCCTCTGCCATGCCAGTCTACGATCACTGATGATCGACTTGCCACTCACATCCACAATGTCCAACTTCTCAGAAACCATCATCACAAGCTGAGTGCCGTCGACCCCGGACTGATCGATGGCCTCCTCAGCCGCTTTCCTGGTCTGCGGCGAACAAATCAAGATCTTGGGGCTACTCAACCGGATCTGCCTCGCCAGTTCAAACGCCGTCGCAGTCACAGAGCAAGTTGCGTGAATGCCGCCTGCACATATCACTCCCAGGTTGTTGGGAGCAACCATGACCTGGTTCTCAATGTACGAGAGCACAATGTCCTTATCGGCTCCCCGGGTGGCGCCGATGCCGAGATCTCGATATCCTTGACCGATTTGATGTGTTAAGTCGCGGGCTTTGGCGAGCGTGACATGGTTGCTTGGATTTGCCGGGTTGATCCATATGGGATCGGTGTCCTTGAACGGCGTCCGCGAGAAGAGAAACGTCAGCAAGTCGGTGTCAGGGATGTCGACATGGTATTCTGACTCGAATATCATTGTGGGTGAAGACCTCAACTATGCACCCTTTTGTGGCCGGTTCCAATGGGTAGGCGACTGTCTTGGGTGAGGAGCTTCCTGAGATTGACAACCTCACTCTGAAGCTCGCTTCCCACTCAGATGAGAAAGCTGGTCCCTTTCAGCCAATTCAAGCCGAGAGAAATACCACCAGCCATGTACTCCCACGAGATGGTCATTCATTGGGCTGGGCGTTGAAATCTATCTCGACAATATGCGCCTCGTTGTACCCGAGAAGCTCGTAGGCTGCACGAGAAATCGGGGAAATGTGGAGTAATAAGAAGTGTGGGGCTAACTAGGCCGAATTCGACATCCCAGCCTCGCCATTTGGAGGGGCTCAAGAGTTATGGTTCTCGTGCTGCAGATTCCATCAATCAATCTCTTGGAGCACGGTTGAAGGCATCATCAATGTAACTCTGAGACCTCGAACTGCAGGTCATACAAGCCAGACCTGTAGATTTGTGACTCCCCCCAGAGAATACAGTGTTACACACCTCTCGTGTCTCTTGACCAACGCCCTTTGCATCTTTTTTCCTGGCTGTCTTCCGTGCTGGGCACGTCGTTTTTAGACATTCCAAGACCTGGCCCGGCTTTCTAGACACTTCTACTTTCTTTCGATAGACGCAGAGGAAGCTTGGCTGGGGAGGAATAGACCGACGTCAAACTATTTGAAGAGCGGGAGGAAGGCGGAACATGTCGTCGTCGGTTGCTCCTTTGAAAGGACTGAAAGGTGAGAAATTATAATCTTCTGCCGCAATTATGGATATGGTCACTCTAACAGTACCACTACGGAATAGTCCTAGAACTTGGCGGACTAGCCCCCAGTCCTTTCGCAGGGTCAGCTAAGTCCTCACCCGTATTCACTTCGGAGACACAAGAGCACCCTGACGAACCACTGCAGGCTCATCCTGGCAGACTATGGCGCAGACGTCGTCCGCGTGGATCGGATCTTTGAGGTCTTCGGTCCACCACGAGACACGCTGTGCCGGCGAAAACGATCCGTGGTTGTCGACTTCAAGCAGGAAAAGTCGCGTCTGGCGTTCCTGGAACTGGTCAAGGTCGCCGATGTCATCATCGACCCCTACCGGCCGGGCGTCATGGCCCGTCTCGGCATCGGGCCCGAGATACTGTGCAAGCTGAACCCGCGACTGATCTATGCGCACCTGTACGGGTTCCGGCCAGATGGAGTCTACGGAAAGCGCGCCGGACACGACATCAATTACCTCGCCGTGGCGGGAATCCTGTCGTTGCTGGGGCGCAAGGACGAAAATCCGGCACCGCCCGCGAATATCTTGGGCGACTTCGCGGGCGGCGGCCTCGTGTGCGTCACGGGGATCCTGATGGCTCTGTTGCACCGACAGGCATCCGGACGAGGCCAGGTCGTCACGGCCAACATGGTCGACGGGAGCGCGTACTTGGCCACGTTCATGCGACAGCAACAGGGACACCAGAACAACGACCGGCCCCGGGGCGAGAATCTGCTGGACGGCGCCGCGCCCTTCTACGAGGTCTACCGGACCAAGGACGACCGATTCGTCGCGGTGGGCGCCCAAGAGCCGCAATTCTACCACCATTTCCTCGCCGGTTTGGAACTGCAAGATAAGGGGTTGCCGGAGCAGTGGGACAGGACCGAGTGGCCGAGGATGAAGGAGCTCATTGGGCGACGCTTCAAGCAGAAGACGATGGATCAGTGGCGGGAGATATTCGATCATGTCGACGCCTGTGTGACGCCGGTGCTGAACATGGACGAGACCGAGGCCCCCTTCCGACCTCTGGTCGAGCTGTCAGATTCTCCCGGTCTCGACGTCGAGGTGCAAGAGTCTTATCCTGAATTGAAGAAAGGAGCGGGGAGCGAAGAGGTCCTCGAGGAGTGGGTCCCAGAGGTCAAGGGGTCAATTCGTATAGATCCTGCCTCCAAGCTCCTTAGCCTAAAGAGAGATGCCAAGTTATAGCCGCCCAACCAAGTATCTAGAATAGAGCGTTTGATTTTGAAAATCATCCAGATAGAGTCAAAACAGTCTAGCTAGGGAACATTCTCCATAGTTAACCTAGTTTCACCATCATATGCACAGAGCTCCTTCCTTGCCCTTGCGGCCTCTTGACGGATTATGTTCTCAATCTCCTTTGATCGAGGGATGAAGCGGGCCTTGAAGGGTTCTGGCCGCATATTCTCGCTCTTGGTGTAAGCGAAGATGTCTAGCTTAACCTCCTTTCCCTGGTAAAAGCTGTGTGAGAAAGATTATTCTAGGATAGGGGAGTAAATACAAGCCGCTTACCTTTTCATCCAGCCCTGGTTTGAAATCGAACGCCCAAAGAAGCGTCGCAATTGTCAAGAACAAGCCCTGTTCAGCCAGGGGCTGTCCGCTGCACTGACGACGGCCCCATCCAAAGGCATTATGTCCCTGCTTGTTGGGGTAAGGGCGCTCCAGTTCTCCGAGGTAGCGCTCCGGGCGGAAATTGTCAGGCTCTGGGAATTCTCTTGGATGCCTATGGATAGCCCAGACGTTGCCAGTAATCGGCGTGCCTTTGGGGATCAAGTACCCTCGGTACTCGTCGTCTTGGATCGGCGCGTGGGGGATGCCACCAAGGATGGTAACCGTCCTCCACCTGAGGGTCTCATTGACGACGGCTTTGACGTACGGTAGAGACGGCTCATCGCTCCAGTCCGGGACTCTATCCTGACCTACCACTTGATCCAGCTCTTCTTGAGCTTTCTTCAGCTTGTCAGGGAAGACACACATCGCTAGAATGAAGGAGATTATGGTCCCGCTCGTGGTGTCGACTCCGCCTCCAATGAGGTTGGAAGTGAGGCTAGATATTTCTTCGTCGGCAATGTGACTCTGCTCCTGCTCCTTGAAGAGGCGTTTCGCGAAGTTGTCTTCCGGCGCCTGGGCGCCTTCTTTTGATAGAGCAACGAAGTATCTGCAAGTCACTATTTATTAGTCTAGGTCCACCACGATAGGAGTTCCAGAATTTGCCTTTGCATATGCCTTGCGAAGTTGTTCATCTTGCCCGGCATTGGGTAGATCCAATCGAGCCATTTTGGCAGTTTGGCTAGGAATGGTATCGACTCGACGATGAAAAGGCCAGGTATAATGAGATCGACTCCCTCCATGGACTTGAGTGCCATTTGAGCAACGTAGTCGTTGATCTTGTCGATTCGGCGACCCCAACCAATGATGGAGACGATGGAACAGGAGTACCTCTCAACACTCATAACAAAGTCATCTGGTCTGTCCAGCAGATCGCGTACCAGAACCTTGGACTCATTGGCTTGAATCACCCGCCACGGTCTTATGGCTTGTGAACCGGTTGCTGAATGCTAATCGACATGAGTTGCAGGTTTTAGAACGGACAGATCTGACATACCATAAGGCGCCGATGAAGGCGCCATTTGTCCCCATACACAAGACACACTTGGTTGCTGTCTGTGGCATTGATCATATCGCCCATAGCGATCATGTGCGGTCGAGAAGAGTAGATATTTGCTCGCTTGTCCAGCAGATCGGATATTGTCCAGATGTCGTTACACATGATGGTCGGTCTGTGACCCTGCCAGATGGTGATCATAGGATCCTTGTAGTATTCCGACCATTTCTCGAAGTCGATCCACGGCTTGACTTTGGGGATCTGGAAGAAATTGCCAAAGAGGGGCACGGGAAAAGGTCCCGGAGGCAGCCTCTGGCGGAGCCGAAGGACTCGGATGTAGTCAACGAGGATGAATATCACAGGCAGGACAATGACACCAACGAGCACAGCCCGCAGGAGGCTCATGGCATCAAAGGTCAGCTCCATGGAGCCCCGAGCACCTGACAGATTCTGGAGGACACCCATGTTGGTTTGTCAGATGTCAATGATGACTCGGACAAGTCCCTTGACAGTACGGCCAGATTGAGGCTTCCCCCTACTCTTTCTGGGCTTGAAATATAGAGATCAGAAGGAGAAGGAGAGCCCAAGGACAAGGGGTCCCACATGGTGCTCTACCTGCTGATTCTACCTGCCAGCTGCGAAGGCACCCACATGGAAATCTGCATCTTCATGTGGAGAAGGATTCTTGATGCTTCAAAGCCTTCGACTTCTTGGTGGAGAGCCTTCAACCTTGCGGGGTTGTCGAAGTGTCTCCAAGCATCGCAGAGCCGAGATCTGGGGTTATGGGGTATTTTCCGTACCTTTAAGCCTTGCGGCTGTCGGCAGTTGACCTGCACGGAATTCTACCTTCTGCATGCATCGTATATTGATATTTTGAGGTGACGTCTGGAGTGTTTTCGCTGATTTCGAGCATTGTTTTGCGTCTTTCACAGCGAGCCTCATCCTAGGCGAGCTGCGAAGAAGCCCCCGAAGGAGCCATGGCAAAACTGCAAGGCCTGCTCTCTGCTTACGCTCCCACCGCCTCACCAATCATTCTGATTGGGGGTTTGCTGGCCGTATGGATCGTCTATAACGTGGTTATTGTCCTTCGAGATCCACTGAGGTCGGTGCCAGGACCCTTTTGGGCCAGATTCACACGGCTGTGGTATTTGAGAGAAGTAGGCATTTCGAATTGCTATGTGTAGCCCATCGATTCTGACATGGGCAGGTGGCTGGCGGCCATTTTGAGAAGACGAATATTGCCCTTCACAAAAAATATGGTACTAACCCCTAGCCCAGCAGATTATTTGAATTCCTCAGTGTAGACTTTCTGGCTGACTTTGCCAGGCTCGATCGTGCGCATTGCCCCGAACTACTATTCCATTGACGATGCAGACGCCATCAAGACCATCTATGGCCATGGCTCAAACTTCGTCAAGGGCAAATGGTACATCGCTTCCAACAACCCGAAGAACAAGCATCCGGATCTCTTCACCGACCTCAATCCCGAGACCCATGCTGTCAATCGGCGGAACGTCGCCTCGCTATATTCCATGACGAGTTTGGTCGCCATGGAGCCAAATGCTGTAGCGTGTGCAGACATCCTTGTTCAAAAACTCACCGAATTTGCAAATTCCCATGTCCCTATCAATCTGCAAGTCTGGCTGCAATACTGTAAGAACCCTCGGACATGTGCTGAAACGGCTTTGTTCCAACCACATGTATCACCAGATTGAAGGCAGCCTTGCTAACGACCAGCCAGATGCGTTTGATACCATAGCACTCATCACAGTATGTCAAGCACGCGAGCTTCTTGCAAACTTGCCTTGAGAGATTGACAAATCCCCAGCTCAGCAAAAGATTCGGCTTCCTTGATACTGGCAAAGACAATGGCAGCATGATTGCCGCCCTGCACTCGTACCTCCTTTACCTCTCTAAAGTGGGCGTGTACCATGAATGGCACTACTTCCTCAACTGGATCTTGTCTCTCTTGCCCAATGGCGGGATGCACTACATGGGCTCGTTCATGCGACAACAAGTCCTTGAAGGCCAGAGGCAGAAATCCAAGAGCGCTCTTGAGAAGGACGAGTCGAAGCCCACAGATGACTTTTTGACGAAGCTGTTGAGAATGCACGCTTTGCAACCGGATAGGTTCCCGATGGAATCGGTCTTTTCGACGTGCGGAACAAATATTGGTGCCGGATCGGATACAACGTCAGTCAGCTTGGCTGGCATTTTGTACCATTTGATGAAGGCACCTGCCACGTTGGAGAAGGTAAGTTCAGGATCGACTGCGATGGTTCCGATTATCTTCCAGTTTTCAATCACGATTTGCTGGACGCCGGCCGACAAGTTGTTTTCGAGCCTTTGAAAGATCAAGAGTGCTAATATGTCGAAGCTGCGACACGAACTCGACCAGGCGATCGAAGAACGCGGATCAACCGACATTCTCTCCTTCCAAGAAGCACAGAAACTGCCCTACCTTCAAGCCGTCATCAAAGAGGGACTACGTTGTCATCCAGCAACTGGTCTGCCCATGGTCCGCGTTGTTCCGAAGGGCGGCGCCAAGATCGTTGGGAGATATTTCCCAGAGAAGGTAAGATTGATGTCCAGGAAAAGACTATCTTCAGGCTCAGACGCTAATATCTGTATGACAGACTGAGGTCGGTGTGAACAGCTGGGTCATGCACGCCAACAAGAAGATCTTTGGACCTGACGCCGAGGAATTCAGACCCGAGCGGTGGCTCGAGTCTCCCGAGAGAGCTGCAGAAATGAATCGATATATCCTCACGGTAAGTATATCATTCAGCCGATCTTCGGCGACCCATCAGACGCTCTCACTATCGTCTTTCTGGTCCGATATTAATCTGGGATCTTGCGTATCCAGTTCGGAGCCGGTTCCCGCACCTGCATCGGCAAGAACATCAGTCTTCTCGAAATCTCCATTTTGATCCCCGAGTTAGTAAGGAAGTTCGACTTCGCTCTTGTTGATCCGAACAGGCCGCTGGAGATGGAGAATGTCTGGTTCGTCAAGCAGAAGAATTTGGACTGTTATGTGAGTTTGAGGAAGGGAAACTGAGCGTAATGGTCTTTTGGATGAGGAGGTGTGCGGCTCATGGATGACATGGGAATGAGGCTGACTGGAAGAGGGAACCCACTGGCCTGCAGGATGACCAGATAGGAGCTCCAGAAGATGCTGTCATTAGCTACTTATGATCGGGCAGCAGCGGTAGCGAGTGGGGACGGTGTGAAAGGATCCTGACCCTCTGGCCCCATTGAGCCCGTGAATTGGGAAAGCGGCAATGGCGAACAAAGTCTTGAAACATTCACAGAGCGCCGTATCATGCATGATGACGGTAGGAATTTTGTACTCGCTGGGATCAACCCGCCTCGAGAAGACTGCCTAGGCTGTTCGCGAAGGGAATGCTCATTTTCGGGTCGGTGTGCACTCGATAATTTCTCGGTTCCCACTAGAAAAAGATGAGAGTCAGCTGCTTTCCTCCCGAAGATATGACAGACTCTAGAGGGACCACTGGGCTATTACGGCCCACGGACACATTTGACGCACTGGGGTTTTGAACTTTTGTCAAGTCACCCCTCGTGGATGATCATCTCGATCGGTGTCGTTCTCAAAACAAGTCGTCCCAAATTCTGAGCTCTTTGGAAACTGTAACACGGTTAGCATTCAAGTCGAAAGATGTCCCTGCCGCCACATCCTTACGTATATCACACTTATATAGATCTCTTGCTGTCGGCAAGGCTTCTAAAAATTGACAGCGAAGTACAGCAGGAGAATTGATCCACCCAATGTTTGTCTTGGCCAGACCGACCTGATCTTGTACTGATTTGAAAGAAACAGTGAACCAGAGTAGGCCTATGAACGTGTCGGGCTGCGGAATCGGTTGTGGGGCCTTGGTCTTCAACAGGTCTCCAACCTCGTGCTCAACTACATCCATAGTGTTGAAGAAATCGGCTCTGGGCAACTCTCTCTCGTCGTATTCGCTTCTCCACCAATATTTAGAGGTAGAATCAAAGTCTAATAAGGATTTAGCATGTAGGTCCCCTACAGCCTCCGAGAACGCTTACATTGCTCGGCAAGCTTCAGTGTGATGAAGGAAGTAAAGACGCGTCGACCCTCCGACCCCAGTTCTATGGAGTCAATAATTTGTAGCACGGGTCTGGTTAGGGTGTTGTCCCTGAGCTTCTCAATGCAAGACTTGATATGTGGAAGACATTTCCAGGCGAGTTGAAGCCTTGCCATGGCAAAACATTCCAATTTGGCGAAGTCGGCCAAATAACCACGACGAGATGGGGGAAGGCGAAACATGAGCTCAACGGCATCTATACTTAGTGCCTCTCGCATATCCATTGCCTCCAACTTCAAGAGTGAGCCAGGATATGCTTGAAGGCTTTAGAACTTACGAGTTTGAGTGGCAAGCATTTCGTAATGTTCCCAAAAAGGTTTGCATTGTATAGTGAAAGGGATCTCAGGGTTTGACCATCTTTTCTAGGAGAGCTAGATCGGTGCGGCTGAGCGGGAGCTAGCGAGTGGTGAAAGGGGATCTCTTGAGGTATCCTCTGCACTCTCTAGAATAGTCGGGATCTGTCGGCTGGAGGTCTGGTCACCTGGAGCAAGTGATTTCTTTCGACGCGGTCTGCGGGCGTGGCCCTCAATCCTAGCCTAGGGAACTTGAACGCCACGGACGATGGCATTTCCACTAGGATCGTTGAAGACCGCAATCAGCTCCTTTTAGGTGAAGTTTTCCGTATCCCCCATCTGGCGAGCTGCCGCTTGTACTGTTTGTCTGTGGCATGGAAACCATAGTCACTCTCCATCAGCAGGATCACATCTTGGAGTTTGGAGATCCCGATACAGGCCTTCAGTGGCAGAGCGGTGCTCATCCCATTCGTCTTCTGGGATTTGCGGAGCTCGTGAAATTGATGCCGTGGTGGACATTGGGTCAACGTGTTGCTGTGTATTACAGCAAGGCGGAAGGGAAATTCAGAGCACAGTTTCTCGCTTGACAACGGGAGTGATCCAGAGGCAGAAGGTCCAGGGGAAGATCTGAGAAGACGTGACCCCAGGGACTCTGAAGAAGAAAGAGGCTCCCTTCTGCCATAGGCTGCAGCGTATTCATTTCGTTGTGGGCAGTTTTGTGAGCGAGAAAAGTTGCAACCTGTGTCATCTGCAGATCCAAGCACAATAACCTAGCCAAGCAGACCAAAGTTTAAAGCCAGTCCAACTTCAAGAGAACCATACTCTGCCATTGCAACTTTTTTGTATCCTAGGGATAAAGACCCAAGTTGCAACTTTTGGCATCCCAGGCTCGAGTCAGGTCGTCGTCACTAGCTGTGGCTAAAGTCGTTGAGGAGGATTGGAGCCGCGGGAAGCAACTTTCAGCGCTGTCCAGAGTTGGCGGGTTGACCTAACACCCTCGCAGCGGCGATCAGGGCGCCAGCCTTTGTGCTCTCGTTCTAGTTTTAATTGGCCGAGACGACGCCCTTAACTGGATTCATCCCCCTTGCAGTGTCCTAGCTGCGCACTGAATACAGCGGCGGCGACATGGAGGGGGTCGGGCGTGTACGGGACTGGAGGCTCAAAGTCGTTCGAACAAAAGTCGTTGACCTCAATATATAGACCTGGTCTCTAATGCTTGAAGATGTGCTCCTCCCATCACCGAGAGCACTCGCTCCAGTCAGTGACCGAAAAGACTGGGCATCGATTCACAACGCTATTCCATTCTCCCACCGTCTTGTCCAGTGTTGATACCTGTCAATTAGAAGTATTCCCAGCTCAAGCAGACTCAGCCTTCAATCCCGCCTACCTTCAAGCAGCCTTGTTTGGGTCCACCGCCACCCTCCAAGGATCCCAGAATGGCACTCGCTCCGGACGTCACCGTGTCCATTGTGTTTGGGGCCCTCGTGGCTCTTCTGGGATTGTGGCAGGTTGCATATTACGCTGGACGTCGTCGTCGAGGTGAGTGCGATGCCACTCGCCTGATGCCATAGAGGTCTTTTTAACCAACCTGGGTGCAACGTTTGATCCTCGAGTCAATAGCTTTGAACCGGAAGCATGACTCCGAGGGCGGCGGCATTGTACAACACTCCGTTTCCCTCGGCGTCAGTGAAGGACATCTGGGAGCACCCATCTTTCTCAACGATTGAGCCAAGGTATGGTTGGTTGGTGTTGATGGAGCAGTGTTCCGATGTCGAAATACACGTAGCATTGGGTTCGCTTATGCTTTGGCCCAGTCAATCCCCGTTCGCAGGCCCACAGTGGTGTGAATCGTGCCAACGACAACGACAATGACAACGAGCTTTCACAGACAAAATTCCGCAGAAAATTGAGTGGTACTGTATCCAAGCGGGTTGAGATAGCTTCGACGCCAGGCAGTCCAAAACAAAAAACAAGTTGGCATTCTCAGTTCTTCGCTCGAGCTTCTGTTTGAAACTGTTAGATAATTAAAATAGACACTACCTATTTGAGTGGTAATTTCGTGACATGGTCGTCAACATCAAGGCATTTTTCTCATCTTGGTGATTTTTGTTTCTTTCTCGCAAACTCCGCATTCCGTAACCCGTGCACATTCTGGACTGGGATTAAAAATGGTCTGTACAATGACCGACTCTTCACTCATTTTCCACCGGAATCCTCCAATCACCATCCTCCTATCCCCCGGAGATTTGCTGGTTCTATGATCCGTACTCCTTGTCGTGAACAAAGCTACCTCGGCTCCTCGTGCTCCTACTTCTTTGTCCTCGGAACTGGAATCCTCGTCGCGTGCTTGTCCCAGGCTCGCGGCGTGACGATCCGCCCATGCAGAAGAGAATGGTGCAAATGAAGAAGCAGGCAAAGGCTGCCCATTCAAAACCAAAGGCATACTCGCCAATATCGGACGATTGACCGTTGTTCCGAAAGTTGTTGCGCCCCTTGACATAAGCGGCCCTGTTCCGTCGTTAGCACACTGCCGCATTAGCCTGCAACTTCGGTCAACTCACGTCATAAGGGATGCTTGAATGGCCTGGAAAATCATGGCCAGCATGGTCAAGAGACCACTTAGATAGGAGCCCAGTCGGGTGCACAGGGCCAGCAACCCCGTGAACAAGGCACAAACGCCGAAGAAGAGAGCCATGAGCATGAAAGCAAACATGAACCGAGTCATGTAGAAGTAGTAGCCATGATGTTCGACAAAATTTCGAGGTACATTCACCCGAGTGTCAAAGGTCCGATGAGATGAAGGATCAAGTGGGAATGCCGGGTGGACATCAGAATAGTGTTGGTCGCCGCAGTGTGTGCGTCCATTCCGAACGCCGCACACGTTCCAATATGACCACCTGGACACAGGCGGAGCTCCTGGTATATTTGCCGTATCTGCTTGTAGGATGTAGAATTTGTTGACCGGACCGTGCTGAACTGCGCCCGCAAGGAGGATGAAGAACATGAACAGGAGACCGCCAGCGAGGAGGATCAGCGATAACAGCGCGAAGAGACCGTTGCCTGCGACACTACAATCAGTACCTAGGAGTTCGAACGAGAGGGATCAGTCTTCACTTACGGGACGCCATCGTGACGCAATGCTTGGACGGTGGCTTGGAGCCCCCAGCAGAGTGTTCAGCCAAGCGACGAGATCGGAAGGAAAAGAGTAGTGACTTGACGACGCTGTCGAAAGGTCGAGAGATGAAAAGAGACAGACGCGGGGTGGGAGGTTAGAGATGGTGTGGGAAGAGGTCTTCTTGTACTAACGTAAGAGTGGTAAGAGAGCTTGTGATGTAGGTATGCCCAGTTCTGGGTACAACTTGGGTGCAGTAGGCCGGTAGGTGTCAAGGTGTGCAAAGTGATGGGTGCAATGTCTTGGATGAGGTCACCCAACCAACCCAACTGAGGGAAACTGACCACCCACTACTTGTACTGTACTTGTTAGAGCATCCTTCGCGGGAGGGACAACCGAGATAATTGGGAAGCCGCTATTGGAGAAAGTTGGATGTCACCAGGAGACAAGCTCCGGGTGCTTTGCTCCCCAATAGTGCCCCGAGCTTCAATTCTGCTCGGCTTTGGTTTTAGCTTCAGCTACCTACAAGGACAAGTATCAAGTACAAGAGCTTTCCATCAGGTTCTCTTGGGCAGTGACGGACCTCCGAGCAAGAAGGGCGAAGGCCTGGCGCCTGGTACACAACAACACTCCACGTCATCAGCTTTGCCCCACCTTTGGACATGCTTAGTCCTGACATGGTTAGCTGCCGGGGCTTGGCCTTCAATAGCGTGCAAGTCTAATTCTCCCCAATCGCCTTACCTCGCGAGCTGGAAAATCCAGGGTGGGTGACGCGGTGAGTTGGTGACGCTTTTGGCTCTCAATCACCTGATATCAAACATCCCTCCTGGCTGGTGCCAGCCTTGCTTCTAAATACCTCATCTTCACCCTGCTTCTTCGTGTTTTCTGTGTTCCTCCTTCACCGATCATCAAGGTTCTCACAATGTCTACCTGGGTTTACCCTCCCATACCTCCCGACGAGCTTCGAAAAGCTGAGAATGACTCTTTGGTATGGTTGAACAAGTGACAAATGTGCATCGCCCTCGTGCGCTGACTTGCCGACAGAAACTTGAGCTGCAATGGCTGCTTCAGTCTCTGCAACGTGCCCTGCCTGCTCTCAAAGAAGCCCTGGAGGAATGTGCTGCATTGTTGGCGCCAAAAGAACCGGGTTCGACACTGGTCTTGTCGTCCCTGCGATCCGAAAGTGTCAAAGGCTTCGTCACTAGGGTCGGCACCAAGCTTGTCAAAGGCGTACGCCGCTTCCAACAGACCGTCTGTCTCTCTGATCTGACAACGATACAGGACATCCATCTTCGTCTGACGACGCTGCCACCAAACACACCAAGAGGCACCACCACTTCTACCCCATCTACGCGCCACATCTTTCATTCTTCGTCCTCATCCGCCGAGATCGTCATTGCACAACTGTTAGCTGTCAAGTCTCTGCTTAACGACTCACTTGACATAATTGATGTCTCGAGGTGGACCGGTCAGTCGACCGACTCTTCCTTCATCTCGGGTCAGTTGAAGCTGCTACATGATCACTTGCGTGAAGCCAAGGCCTGCTTGAAAGGCCCTGTGGCCGGCGCCGACATCTCCTCTATCCCCGGGGCTGAATGGTGGACCAATAGCCCCGATGAAAACGTCTTCCAGCCCCCGCTTGGCGAACATCTCAGTTTGCACTTCACCATTCAGGACGCCAATCTCGTTCTCACTGTCCGGACTCTGACTCCAACCTCTCCTGGCGGGACTCCCAGCACTCCTTCCGAGGGATCTTTTTCTCTCTCTGGGCTCAACCTGAGGACGAGGTTGCTCGGCTTGGGCCCCAAGCCTCCAAATCATGACGAAATGGGCGAAATTTATGAATGGCGTGGTCGACAAGATGTTATTGTCCGTGAAAAGGTCCGAGTAGAGACAAGCGATCCCAGTTTGCTGAGCATTGCCGCAAAATTGAGTGCTCTTGAGCATGAAGTCGCTCGCTGGAGGACGAATCTCAGGATCATTCTGACGGGCAGTACGGAGGAGGACTGAAGGCAGCTTCAGTTCCAGGAGATTTTCGTTGCTTATTTCGGCCACTGCAGATCGGTCACTGCAGATCGGCCACTGCAGATCTCCCGGGTTCTTCACGAACAAATGCCCCATCGGACGTCTATCTTTTCGGAGCCCTGTTGGACGCACCCGAAGCCGACAGCCTGGTGGAGTTTAACACGTGATGCGATGTTTGGTCGCCCAAAACTCAAACCTGCAGATGGACTTTGCCGATTTTAGGTTTCGGAATGTTGTGCTCCCCAACAATGCATCCATCTCCACCCGCTTGTCGCATTCCAACCTCAGCTGCTCGACCTTCCACTGCGACGTTCCAAGCAAAGCGCCCTCTCTTTCTGATAAAACAATGACTTACAATACCAAGACTGTAGTCATTCAATCTAGCTCTCGAGCACAAAAACGAAGCTAAAATGGCGGTTCCAAATACACGCACAGACAATCCTTTGTTCTCGCAAGGGTCAAGAAAGCTCGATTGGTTTCTCATGAAACGGTGTCTTCGACAAAATATTTCTCCCCAAGAACTGTATGTGAGTGCATATATAAAATGGCCCCTGAGGTCGTCGATGGAGTCGTATTCGTCCCCGCAAATGAACAGAATCCCAACTTTCCAAGGACAGAACCTCGAAGTTTGGACTCTTTGAGTAGAGCCAACACCCAAAGGCCAATTTCAAGTCCAAGGATGCAGCCGGAGGTTCTCGGCCAGATTGGAACCTTCTCTCGAGATGAGTCCGGAAGGCCTCCTCGCCTTCGACGTCGGATCACGATTGGTGGTTTGGGCCAGGATGCAAAAGAAGTCGAGCAAGGTACTTGGCGGTCAGGTATAAAGAAACACTCAAATACCTTTCAAGGCGGAGATTCTAAATTTCCGTCTGTGAAAAGCCATTACCCTCCTACCAGCTGGAGGTCTACAGCAACCGTCCAATTCACCACCTCAAATGTTGGCGAATACGACTTGTTGGAACGCAGTTCTAGTAGCGGATTGGATGGTGGATTTGGGAGGTCGAACAACAATGTCGGCCTTGGAAAAGTGGACCTCAACCCACCCTCATCAACCGCCACAATGACTTCCAGTCTGCCGCAAGGTCCGAGAAGTCCTGAAGCCTCAATCAATCCTGCGCCTCAGCCTCTGCCAGTTCGATCAAGATCTCGTCGCTACAGCATAATCTTTTCCGCTCCCGGGACCCCGGAAAACGCCGCCACCCCCCAAAACAGGGCGACGGGTGCTTCAGCTGCAAATCGGCCAGCTTCGGCCGGGAGGACGCCTCTGCCAGATCCGGAGACTGCTTATGCTCACACATACTACTACACAGTCTGTGCCCACACGTCGCCTCCAATGTCTCGTCCCCTTAATGTGCAGCCTACACTTGCGCAGTATCGCAGGGGTCTCCTTGCGTACCCACCGTTCCATCTGCGTGCGTACAATCCCGATCAAGGAACATCATCGCCGATGATTTACGTGCTCGACGGCTCATGTTCTGACTGTGATATCACAATGCGACGCCAGGCCGAGTCAAAGGTGTTGGACAGATACACTCATGAGCTGGAAAACCTGTCGATCCAATTGAGTCTCCTTCAGAAGGACATTGCTCTTGAAACTTGTAACGTGTCATTTCCTGACAAAAGCGACGATGCAATAACCATGTTTTCGTTCCCCTCGACGTTGGAACTCGAGCCTGAGGCGACACAGGCTATTTTCGAGATGGAGGATCGGCTGGACCAGTTAGTCAGAAGGCGTGATCATGAAGTGAAACAGATTTGGAGAGGATACACTGCGAGGTGGGGTCCAGCTACGGTTGGCATTCATCGCGAAGACAATATTCGGGGACGAAGTCGGGCAAGGACTGCCGACACACGAGATACTATATCCCAGGAGGATACAGCGGGCTCAACGACCAGTTTTGGCATTTTTTCCGATGACCGTAGTCCCGGAAGAACCCGCACAATGACCACAGTGAGCACGCAGACAACTATGCCTCCATCTCACCTAAGTCGAAGAAGCAGCTACAATACCCGGTCACGCGCGAGTTCCGTCGGTGGTCCACAGGAACGATACTCGGATGGAACGTACGACCTGAGTGTCGACTCGTCGGTGGACGGCGTCAAAGGGCGAGGGCGGATGGTGGTGGACTGGATACGGCCAGGACGAAGAGAAGGTAGAAGCAGGAGCATGGCCCAGACGTCAAGCCGGAAAAGCAGCTGGCCGGGCAAATAGGGCATAACAAGGACGTATGTACAAGAATGCAGGATTCATATCGCTCAACATTTTACGCAATGCATCCAGAGCAGGGTCGAGACAAGTCACTTGGGCAGGCCGAATTGCAAAGAGAAAATTTTCAAGGGAGACATCTCTACAAAGAGCAGGGGTTTACATCTTGGAGGCCTACACCGAGGCATATTTTCATTGGATGCATTGGATACAGATCTTTCTCTCTCCCTCTGTGTGGCTTTCTCTCAAAGGCCAACCAACACTCTGCAAGCAACCAAGCAAGGGAAGGGTAAGGAGGGACAGAGTCCATATGATATATATCTATCTCAAAGCGAGCAGGAAATGAAATAGAATGGAAAACAGCACAAAATGAATCAAAGAACTACCAATGGGGGGAAGAAAATCCAAATCCGAATTCAGAGTGCGATTGATGGGCTTTTGTCGACTTTTCCCTTCGGAAGGTATATATTAAATGGTAAAATTAACAACGGCGTTCTTGGGTATTCTCTGTCGAGAAACAGCTCTTTTTCTTTCAAGTCGCTCTCGCATCCCCCAATCCTAAAATAGAGTAATATCCTGGGTCGTTCTACCTAGTATCTCGACGTCTAGGCCCAGTTGGCAAATCCAGCAGGTAGGTATTAAACAACTGCACAGTCCAAGAAACTACAGCTTGGCCGACCCGTCGTCAATCCGCCTCCAACTCTCCGCGTCTAGCTCCTTGAACCGCTCCTCTTCGAGGTCGAGATAATACTTCCTTGCCCTCTGGCCTTGGTGGTCGGCGGTTTTTGCCCAATCAATGTTCTTCACGACCATCTTGGCGTGCTTGAACGTGTCGCCCACGTCGACGAGTTCGTTGCGCACCATGACCAGCCGTGGCACCGCGTACCGCGGGACACCTTTGCTTCTCAGCACCCTGAACAGGCGGCTCATGAACACTTTTTCCCGGGCAAGCGATCCGGAACGCTGCTCCCCGCTACCGCTGCTGCTGCTGTTGGTCTCTGGGTCGAGTACAATCAGCGCGGTGCCGACCTGTCCGTCATATTTGGCCAGTCGCTTGCCCACTACAACGGCGTCCTTGACTCCGGGCAACTCGGAAATGAACGCCCTGACTTCTCCTGCCGACACGTTCTCCCCCATCCAGCGATATGTGTCGCCTATACGATCCACGAATTTCACCCAATTGTCCCCTTCTTGCACTAGCAGGTCTCCGCTGCGCTGCCACAGGTCGCCCTTCTCGAACACATCTCGGAGGAATTTCTGTTCCGTCGCGGAATCATTGTTGTGGTAGTTAGTGTACGTCGAGAGATTGTGGATCCGTGCGATGGCTTCGCCCGGCTCGCCCTTTGCACATACAATACAGAAGCCAGTGTTTGGATCGCGGACCGGTGACTCGGTATCGTAGTCGAATTTAATGATGAACTGGTCCTTTTCCAGGATCTTCTTCCTCAACGGGCCTAGGTACCCGACTTTCCCTGCCCCAGGCTGCCCAGCACGGTGTACGTTGTCGAACTTGACGAGTCCTTCAGTTGAGCGGTAGAATTCGCGGACCTCGGGGACATTGAAGCGGTCTTGGAAGGCCACCCAGACATCCTTTTGCAGTCCGTTGCCAGCGGCCACGATGACGTTGTGTTTCTTATCAAACTGCCCCGGTGGGGTGGTCAGTAGGAAGCGACACAGTTCACCAACGTATAGGATTCTCGTGGCGCGCGATTCGTGCACGTCTTTCCAGAACCCTCTGGCCGAGAATTTCCTCGCAAAACAGAAACAACCTCCCTGTCCCACGGAATAACACATCCCAGCGAAGAATGTAGTGCCATGGAAAAGGGGCATGCATGAGTATGCACGGAGACCATGAAGGTATTTCTTCGGGTTGGAGGCGTCAGGGGAAGAAGTGCATGCGACGGCACAGATGAGGCCATTTTTGATACTGCAGGCCTTTGGTTTGCCTGTTGTACCGGAAGTGTAGATCAGGGCGGCGACTGAGCCGAGGGTTTTGGGTGGTGTTGGTGGCAATGACGAGGCAGGTGATATGGACGAATCTGGGAAGGGGAAGTCAATTACACTTCCAATATCACTTGAGAGCGGCGTAGGTCGAAAAGAACCCAGATTCAACCTCACTGTCTTGACATCTCCACCACCCATCGATTGCGCTGCCGATGCCGCATAACCCGCCAAATCCGGGGTGCTGAGAATCAGGTTTGAGTTCGGCAACCGCACACAGTGCAACAATGTATCGTCTCTCAGGGCGTTGTTGATTAATGCAGGCGCTGCTCCCAGCCTTGTTAGAGCGTAGGCGGTGACGACAAACTCGGGCGAGTTCGTCATAAACACAGCAACAATGTCTCCATCTTTAACGCCCAGACCCTTCAATCCGAGTGCGATTTCGTCCACCTGAGCCTTGAGAGCTCTGAAGTTCCACGAGCGACCCTCGAACCACAATGCATCAGCATTTGGATCACAGAGTTCCAGCATGCGATATAGGTGAGGTGATTGAGGACCGAGTTTATCGATGAATTGGAGCATACGCTTCGTAAAGGATTGTTCGTGACGGTATTGTTTGATGTCCCGGCTAATACCAATGCGTTGGTCGACGTAGTAGAGCAGACCCGCGGCAGCGGCGGTGGATGCCGCTATGGTGGCCATCTTCAGACGTAAAGGTTCCCAAGTGAAAGTTATAAATTGAAGGTCTGCTTTCGGCGAAGGGAGAGACGAATCGACTGAGCTGAAGATTGGATCTTTTTAGAACAGCGACCCAGCACGAAATCCCCTTTCCGTTAATAGATGCCGTGCCTCGGTCGCGAGGTCGATGCTGATTTATCTCACTGGAGTAGGTGAGTGCCGTAAGGTATCCCTGTCGGGCTAATTGTGACTGAAGCAAGTATGGGAAGTTTACTTTGCTCGTGTTGGGGGTTCCCTTGGCCAATTGACATGGACGAGGCTGGAATAAAGTGATCCGTCAGCGGCGTACGGACGTAAAGATGTCTTGGGATATTGAGCAAGGCGTCTGAGGTCCTGAGGGGGTAGTTCGGAAATCTCCCCAGGCAACGAGGGTTCCTTGAGAAGAGATGGAACGGATGCTCTCACCGTTCTAGACGCGGTTCCCCGGCCCGAGAAGAATTGGAGAACCCACGTTAGCCTAGTGAGTTGACGAGCCAACAGCCACAGCGCCTGGGGAGCCCCACGGGTGCTAGAGAGATGCAGGGGGAGGAGTAACAGAGAGACGAGACAGAACAGGTTTAATATATTAATATAGCCACATAAAAGGGAGGGAGGAAGAGAGGGGAATGTAATGCGAATCCCACACAATCGTCTCGCTGAACTGTGCCATCGTGGACTCAAGTCTGGACCAAATATGCCTTGAATTCACACTTACCGGTTAGACCCTAAGGGATCAAAATGGAACTTGTATGTGGAGGTGGGGCCAGTGGGCAAGTCGCTGGGTTTTGGGTGGTTGGCATCTGTCCAGCAAGGTGAGACTGTCGTCCCAACCAGCAAACTAAGCAACATCAGGAGTAGCTATGGATGGGGAGGGAGGGACCTGGTGGTGGCGATGAGTTGAGGCAGCGAGTGAAGTGAGAGAGTGAGAGAGGGAGCGTGCGTGACTGAGAAGACAAAGAGCCCGGAACAACTGCCGGAAGCTCAAGACTCCGAAGATGCCGAGGCAACTTTTGACCGTTGACATCAATGGCCGCTTTAAGCGCCTCGACAACCTCTCGCATCAACATTAAAATATTACTATTGTCCATACTTATACTTCTAGTGTGTACATACTTTCAAATATTCTGTCTTTCTTCTCCTCTCTGTGTCGGAATCAGTGGCTTCTCTACTTCATACCCAGCACAATGAGCGCTCAAAGACGCCTCGACGCCATCTCGGGCCAGCTCTCTTCCACATCAACTACAAGCCACTCTCCCGGCCTGCAGCAGATCTTAGAAAAGAACCCCGACGACATTGTCATCACATGTGCCACGCGCACTCCGCTGACCAAGGCCAGAAAGGGCGGACTCAAGGACACCACCACCGACGAGCTCCTGGTCCATGTGCTGAAAGCCATCAAGGACAAGTCCGGCATCGACCCTAACCTGGTCGAAGATGTCTGTGTGGGCAATGTCCTCCAACCCGCTCCAGGTTTCGTGGCCAGAAGTGCCGTTCTCGCCGCGGGATTCCCCGTCACCACAGCCACGAGCATTGCTTCGAGGTTCTGCTCCTCGGGCCTGTTGAGCATCCAGACCCTTGCCAGTTCCATTGCCATCGACATCATTGACGTGGGCATCGCCGTGGGCATAGAGAGCATGTCGTCCAACAGAGACGCCCCTCCGCCAATGAGCGAAACCATCATGTCCCACCCCATCGCCAAGGACAATGTCGAGCCCATGGGCTGGACGTCGGAGAATGTGGCCCGCGATTTCCACATCACGAGGGAGATGCAGGATAAGTTTGCCGAGATGTCGCACAACCGCGCCGAAAAGGCCCAGAAAGAAGGCTGGACCAAGGACGAGATCTCCCCGGTCACGACCAAGTGGATCGACCCCAAGACCAAGGAGGCCAAGGTGATCACGCTGGACAAGGATGATGGCATCAGACCGGGCACCACCTATGAGGGCCTGTCCAAGATCCGATCCGCCTTCCCGCAATGGGGACCGACCACCACGGGAGGCAATGCTTCCCAAGTCACCGACGGGGCAGCGGCCGTGCTGATGATGAAGCGGTCAACGGCCCAGAGACTGGGCCAGCCGATCATCGGCAAGTATGTCAAGAGCACGGTCGTCGGCCTCGAGCCACGCATTATGGGCATCGGCCCGAGTCTGGCGATCCCCAAGATCCTGCAGAAGACCGGCTTGAGCAAGGACGACGTGGATCTTTTCGAGATCAACGAAGCCTTTGCTTCTATGGTGAGTTTTCTCCTGTATTTTCCATTTCTTACCAAGGAAAGGGTGCCCGAAGCTAATCTTATGGGCTCGGTAAAAGTATGTTTACTGCGTCAACGAACTCGGCTTGGATATCAACAAGGTCAACGTCCGAGGAGGTGCCATGTGAGTTTCCTCTCCACCCCCTTCTTTATTCTGAGGAATCGAGCCATAGACGCTAACGACCCATCCCTCCAGTGCTATCGGCCACCCCTTGGGCGCCACGGGTACGCGGCAAGTGGTGACCCTGCTTTCAGAGCTGAAGCGGCGTAAGCAAAAGGTCGGCGTTACGAGTATGTGCATCGGCACGGGCATGGGCATGGCTGGTGTATTTGTCTCAGAAGCGTAGATAGAATTCTCCCGGACGTTAATTTACGAGGCCGGCATAGAAAATACATGCTATCCTTGTAGATAATCACGTATCGCTTTCAAGATTGGGCTTTCATGACGATTGGGCAATCGACCCACACAGAACTCGCATTGCACTGCAACCTTTGGCGTTTGCGAAATGCGAACATCCGACCAGAGGTAAGAAAAACCCGATGCGAATGGCGAAAATGACCATCAGACGAGTGTGGACAACTGCGACTGCAACCGTGGATACGAGATAGGTGTGAGAAGGAAGGAACAAGCATGAGCGTGAGCTTGAGCACCAACGGAGCGATGTTGTCGATACTGTCTCCCTTTCCCTGTCTTGAATCACGGTTGATTGCGATCGAGGAGCATTGAAAGCATTTTGAGCTTTGCTCGACAACGACGACGACTTTCGAGGAGCTCTTTCGCGAGACCTCACACAGCTCCCCCCGTCAGACTTGTTCATCCAACCTCATTTCTTCGACGGGGCTGCAGTGCCGTAGAACTGTTCTTTGTCCATTTGCATCTCGTCGTCCGCGACGCCAATGGTCGCGAAATACTGCCCGGCAGCCCCCCCAGCAGGCATCAATCAGCACATGAACCACCTAGAAGACATACGCTGACGGGTAGAAGCGAGGGCGAGGTAACTTACAGCCATGGCCTTGCGGTTCGCTTCGGGGTTCATTGGCTTTCCCTGCTCGTTCATGGTCGCCAGAAGCCGGAAGTAGTTGATGTAGAAGGCGGGCGTGTAGGTGTTGAAGAACTTGGCTTCCTCGTCGTATGGGTTGCTGAATGTGTGCGGCGACCGCGGCGGGACCGTCACGTAGTCTCCGAGCTTTGCATCGACGGTTTGGCCGTTGAGGGCGTGGAAGCGCAAAGTGCCTTGGGTGACGAGGAAGGTTTCGTCGTGCTTTAGACGGCAAGGGAGAGGTTAGCGGGACGTAGGGTGCTTGGTTTTGGATTGGGCTGAGTGGTGTTTTGATATTTACCATTTCATGCCAGTGTGGAGGTGGCCTTGATAAACAAAAAGACGCCATCCAACCATGTCAGCCTCACGACCACGACCCAGCAAGATTTGCAGTGCCAGATTTCTCGGATGCTTACCCCGAAGTATGCGGAGGGACCGTGAACTCGGCACTTGAGATTCGAGTCAAGGTCATATTCCCGACGTCACATCCCAAAGGCCGTCGAAGAGGAAACCCCCAAAGACTCACCTGCCAATGCGATCTTAGGCATGTCAGTCAGTACGTTGCGACCAGAAAGAGCTCAGCAGGTGGTCAACACTTACTATCTGCACCACAACATTAGCAGTCAATTCATAACAAGTCTGTGGCTGAAGGAGATAGGACACAAACCTGTTCTCGAGCCATCCTCCATGATTCGGATGGTGATGGTTCCAACCTTGAACGTCTCGCCCGCCTTTGCAGGGACGAAGTTGATGGGCACCGTGGGCGTCTCCATGATGATTTGGTGAGAATGCGAAAAGACCTCCGAGGGTTACAGGGTATCTGTGCGATGTTGAAGGGGCGAGGAGAATTGTTTTTATAAAGTGAGGAAAATGTGAGGGTGAGACCGTCGGCCGCAGATTCTCCCAGAAGCCGATGCCGATTGAGGCCGCCACAACCTCCAGCTGCCAGCTACCCAAAACAGTCTACGCTCTCGACTCGAATAATACACAACGTTGCAAATGTCAGGAGACGTAGTTCCATGATCAATCATCAAACAGCCGAGCAAAGCACATCCACTGTCCAGTTTGACTGGCGTATTGGCGGTATATGATCCGAGTTTTAAAGCAGTCCCTGAATGCATCGTCCCCTGAAAATACCACAAAACTCCAAAGGTCTCATGCCATATTACAATGAATGGCTCTCCTTCTCTAGCACTCGAGGTATTGATCTGACAAACAGTCCCCATTCATATCTTCCCAACGTACTCGTCAAATATCTTCTTGATCTCCAGAGCACTCTTCTTCGGGTACCGTTTCTGGTCGTTGTCATAGTCAACATATGTGACCCCAAAGCGAGTCTCGTATCCTTCAGCCCATTCGAAATTGCTGTGCGTCCATGTGTCAGCATCAATGGGTCTGCAACCAGAAATCTACAGACAAGGAACCCCCGGGGAGGGGGGGGGGGGGGGGGGACCTACTCCATGAGACTCCAAGCCATATACCCACGACAATCACATCCATCCTCGGCCACAGCCTCCGCCATGCTGGTGATATAACTCCGGAAATACTCACACCGAAAGTCATCTTCGAGGATCTCGTCGCGCGACAAGTCATTCTCGCCCTTCAGACTCGTGCCATTCTCTGTCACGTAGATTTTCGGACGTCCGTATCGGTCACTCAGCCATTTCATCAACTTTCGGAACCCTGGAGCGTGA